TGGGGCGGCTGCCAAGGTGGGTATAAAACGAGATGAGACAGATACGTTTGGGAACCGTGGAGACAAAATTAGGCTCCAATTTGAACAAGCTGTTTGTTCAAAACACAGCAGCATGACTCACCGGTCCCTTGGTTCCAGGGAGACGCCACCTGAAGATGTTCACACTGACTTCTCTTTGACATGCTGGACTCTCAGACATGATTCTCAAAGGTCTCTTCGGTAATCTATTCTTGGCTGATGCTGTGGGAACAAAACATTCCTCATTATGGACCAAAGAATACAAAGACAGAAACCATCAAAGCCCCACAGACTGAACAACTTGCAGCTGGCATTATTGCCTTTTTTTTTTTTAAATAACAAACCTTCATCATGATTGACAGCAGAGACTAACAAGACCTAATTTGATGAAGATCAGCTTTGAACAATTCATCTGAAAACGCACTGACAGGCACATTTTTACCCGTTGGCCTATTCATGTGTAAAATGAACTAGTTTTAGTAACGAGGTAATTTGTTTTTCTACTTTCCAACGTATAATTAATAGTAAAACTGGTGTGCATCTTTAAAACATCTGCCATAATGGACAAGGTTTTTATCAGCCATTTATTTCCCTGTCTGTTTCTGTCTGACAGGAGTGAACCTTTTCTGTTCATTATCCAAGAGTAGATATTGAAGCATTTTAACTGGTTCAAGCCAGCCTTGGCTGAAATTTTTTTTTTTTTTTTTTGCTTACTCATATTCTGAATAAACTCTAAATAATGCTGTTATGAAAATAAAGATCTGGAACCTCAGAGGGGATTAAACTAGCTGCCATCTGCAGGAGTGGATGCGTCAGCCAGCAGCAGGTTTGTAGTTTCTGAAGAACCTAGCTACATGTTTCTTAATAAAACAAGGGATTTGATAAAATACAGCCCTTATAAAAGACAAACTCAAAGGAAGAAATGGAGCGGAGGAAGGTGGGAGTGACGTTTCTGTCATTTTAACAAACATGGCAGACATAAAAAAGTTAAACTATACAAACTGAATCAGTAAGTCTACTAAATGTACTAGTTTGTAAAAAGTTATTTTACTATTTTAAGCCTTTGTGAAAGTAATATATTCTCTTGAACAGGTTTTGAGTAGCTCCAATCATCTGACCTCCCATCACAACTTCTCGTTAATTCTGCTCCTGTGTCTAACAAGCACGAGATCCTGAACTGTTTCAACAAACATTTTGTCGCTTCTTTATTTGACACAGTTACTAATGGAAAATCAGCCACTTCCCCTAATAGTCAAACTTCTACAAACCAAATCTCTCCTACAAGTCAGTCTTCAGTAAACCACACCTTTTCTCTTTCCCCGTTCTCAGTCAGTGAGGTTAGTAACAATTAAAAGGTCTAGACTCTAAAAAAATCTGCAGGTCCAGATGAACTTCCACCTTATTTCTTACGGCTGGCCGCCCATATCATCGTTGTTCCCGTGTCCCACATCTTTAACCTGTCCATAAGCCAAAACTCCATTTCAGATGCTTGGAAAACCGCCTTTGTTCTACCTTTGCTGAAGGAGGTGATCCCAGCTCAATGAAACAACTATCGACCAGTCTCTAAACTCTGCATTTTAGCCAAGTTTCTAGAAAAACTTATAAACTCTCAAATCAAAAAGTATTTGGACTCATTTAACATATTGCCTCCCCAAGTTTCAGGAAACAACACAGCACAACGACTGTTTCAGCGAGCAGGTTACCCTCGAACAAATCCCGGGCCTTTCTGGGTGGAGTTTGCATGTTCTCTCCGTGCATGCGAGGGTTTTCTCCAGGTACTCCGGTTTCCTCCCACAGACCAAAAACATGCATGTTAGGCTGACTGGTAACTCTAAATTGTCCCTATGAGAGAGAGTGAATGGTTGTTTGTCTCTGTGTGTCCCTGTGATGAACTGGAGACCTGTCCAGGGTGTTCCCTTCCTCTCGCACATTGACTGCTGGACATGGGCACCAGTGACCCGAGTGTGACCCCTGTGACCCAAAAAGAAAGAAGCGAGTAAAGAGAATGGATGGTCGGATGGATTTATTCTCTGAACATATGTAAAAAAAATGTTGTTGTTGATTAAATATCAGCTGCAGAATCTGTCTCCCTGATTGGCTTTAATTCTAATCAAGTTTGGTGAAAACTGTTTGCAGTTTCTTTTTAATTTAGTCCTAAAACAAAAAAGTGGAAACATTTGAGACCAGAAAACAAACACTTGGCCAACAGGGACCCAAAGCAGCGACGCATAAATGGTCTGTCTTTATACGTTTTAATGGCAGTCAACTAAAAACACAAATACTGTTATTTATATACTATGTGCTATGCATTATATTGTATTACTGCATACATTTATACACTACTACTATTTATTTCAGCCTGAAACAGAGCCCAGAATGAGAATTTGGACTTTCATTTCATTCATTCCTTAGTTGAACTTTTTAACAAACTCAAGTTTCAGGAAAAAAACAACCAAAAAAAAAACCCGACATCGAATATGATCAAATCGATAGAAACGTTTAACATGTCTGCAGGTGCAGGGCCTGATTCTGTATAAAACTGTCTTTAAAACAGAATCCCAGAATATCAACAATATATATTTTTTTTTATATAAAGCCCCCACTAGATGGGGCCTTATTTTTAGAAGTGAAACTTTTCTTTGCTCAAGCTTCCTTCCTGATGACAGAAACAAAGTACTTGTGTTGTTTTCACTTTTTATGCCTGGGTTCGAAAAATTATTTAAAAACTCACTTACACTTACACTTACAACAGTTTATAGTTTAAATATGAAGGTTTGATAAATGATGGGTTTGCATTCAATAAAAAAGATGGCTGCATCTGTGCACCTGCTTATGTATCTAAAGATGAAACACAAAGCAGATTTTGTGCAACTTCTGAATTCTTTAAATGTTTAAGAAATGCATTCACACATAGAACCCTGTTGCTTGAAGTGTTTGACGTGTTCATTTTATGGGAGTTTGTTGAGATTCAATTCAAATATTCTGATCATTTGCTTTGAATCATCACAGCTGCAATCATTTTTATTATTATAACTTTTTTGGATATATCAATCAGAATAAGAATCAGAATAAGCTTTATTATCATTGTACAGTGAGATTATGTTCGAACAATTGTTCGAAAGATGGGCGGAGTGCACGTTGCTGCTGCTCCTAAGAGCTCGACCCATTATTTTTGTATTTTAGATAAAAATGGAGAAAGGCCATGAGGAGAGGATAGTGGTATTACAAAAATATCTTTTCACACCTTGTCCTTGTCAGGACACAATTTAAGATGAAAACTACCAGCAGCACATTTATAGACACATTACATATGCGTTTGACGACAAGACGATGAGATTTGTCCATGAAGCACTTCCAGAAAGTACCATAGTCCTGATAAGATGCTGATGTCAGCTGGTACAGCTCTGGTAAGCATCCACAGAAGTTATGGGGGGGTTGATAGACAAAGCTTTCTTAGTTTATACATATCCCAGGAGAAATTTGATTAGTCAGTCTGCTTCAAGGCCAAACGGGGGAGTCAGATTCAGATAAGCCACAGTTGTTGATTAATTCAGGCAGACTGTTATTTCTCGTCAGCCTTGAGTTCTGCTGGTACTTTCAAGATCCAAAATGGCCACATTTGTGGGCATTCCACTGGTCTGTGCTTATTAGCTCCCTCCAAGGTCGTCCCCAACATGCTGGTGCATCCCAGCATGTTCCATCTTAACGGTTTAGCTCGTAAATCAGCTGATTTTGAATGATCGAAGCACGAACCAAACCTTCACACAGGGTCGGCAGCTTTGCCGTGGCTGAAACTGCTGCCGCCGTCTTCTTTAATAGCCGATAACGTATCCACCGGTGCCAAAAAGCAGAAACCCTGCTCTCATGATTCCATTGATATAAACATCTTTGGCGTCCTCCTGAGACACTACAAAAAGGCACATCAGATTCCAACCCCCCCCACAGATCCATGACGTACCCTGCCGCGTGCATCTCAGCGGGGCATGAGGGTTCTCCAGGACCTTGCCGCTTGGTTGAAAAAATTTCATCGATTGCGTTGAAAGTCCAGCTGACCAGATCCATGACAGTAGTTTACGTTTCGGACGATGTGTAAACAGGAGCTCCGATACACAGACAGAGAGCAAAAAGCAGGAGGAGCACAGGAGAGGGAAGAAATGCGTCCGTCTTGCACGAGAGCGATAAGGCAACTTGTCCAGATCTCAAGTTTAAAAGTGTGTGTGGAGGTTAACGAGTTTGATGTTAGAGATTATTGAAACAGATAAAAGACCTGCATGCTGGTAGTGAGGTGTTCAGGTTGGTTTCGAGGGAACATTTAGCTGCTTTAAATATGCGGCAGTCAGATCATTCAGGGCTTTTTATGTAAAGAGGAGGATTTTGAATAGTTTATTCTGCTATTCACTGGAAGCCAGTGTAGAGAGGCTAAAACAGGAGCAATATGGTCTCTCCTGGAAGCTCCAGTCAGCACTTGAGCTGCAGTTTTTCTGAATAAGCTGTAAGATTTTGAAGTTCTTTTGGTCACTTGGCTAAAAAAAAAAAGCATTACAGCCTGCAGTTTATGAAAATATGAACCAGTTTTCTGCTTCAGCTTGAGAAAATATGCTTTGAATTTTATAGATACAAAAAAATAAAATAATGTAGAATGTAAATGTGGACATTTTAAATGAGAAAGTAGGATCTAAACACCCCTACAGTGTGGACTAAAGAGCAGAGCAGATTTTTAGTCATGACATCATTATCATCATGACCAAATTACCAAACCTTCAGAATAAAATGCTGTTTAAGTAAAAAATTTACATACATCAGCTCTTTAATTGTAGTGTTGTGCAATTCTGTATTAAGAATAAGATTGCAAGAGTATTTTTGCACGTCATCAGGATTCAGTGTCACCGTTGAGTGTCAGGATGGCAGCGCCGGCCCTTTTTCAAAATATGACTCTCAGTTTGTTTCCTGTGCAGCGTCAGTCCGTCGCTCGACACATCAACATGGCTTTAAGCAGAAGAGACAGCTTCCTCTGGGGGAAAGGTACGACATCAAACTTTAACTTTCAAATATTAAGTTGTCGAGAACAGCTTGTCAAGTCAACAGCAAAAGTGTTTCAGAGCATTTTATCTGTCTTGTTTTGTTTGGATCTCATTCAAATCAATGCTTTTCATTGCTGCTTATGGTGATTCGATTATTTAATTATAACGTTTTTGTAAAACTGTGACCCTAGAAGTGTCACATCAGCTGTGCTTTGACCATTTGAGATCTTTGACACACAATTATTTCCTGTTTTGTTTAGTTAGTTTTTTTTTTTTTTTTTTTAGAACAAAACTTGACTTATTATGCTGCAAATTGTCTTCTTGGACAAAAATCTTCCACAAATGAGGGTAAAACCTACTTTTAGTGGTTCAGATATGTCCCAAAGTCTTCCTCATTAAAAAGAGGAAGACAAGCTACTATTTTCAGCCTTATTCATTGATCGCTTCTCTAAAGGATGATGCCGTGATGCGAACTGGTCGGTGAGAATGAGCGTGGGCGTCAGGGAGGCTGTCGAGGCATTTTTCATTGCTGAACGTGCACTAAAGCTCCATGCAGGGATACAGTCTGAATTATAATAGCCCCCAATTTTTGTTTTCCTGTTGCCCCTATAGCTCCTCCAAAACTGCCCCTGGCTGAGAGGAGGCAGGGTGACAGCTTCAAGACTCATAAATCTGAGCTGCTGGATGACATTCAGGTACTGTGCTGAATCTTTCAAGGTTTTTAATAAAAATGCCTCGATGTTCTGCTGCACATTAAAAAAAAAATCTACTTTTATTCATCAACTTTTGACGCAAACATAAAGGATGTGAAGGTTGTCTTGTGAAAGCAGTGGGCAAATTGGCCCTGACTCACTGCATTGGCAGCTGCAAGTGACGTAAAATCAAACCTCTGTCTCTCACTAACATGGAACTCCTCGCAGAAGCTGAGGCTGGAGATCAACCCCGTCAAACCCGAGACGCACAACCTCCAACCAAAGCAGCACAAGTGAGTACGCCTTCTACAGCAGCTCATCGGAGTCTGCGCAGCTTCAGCAGTCGGTCTGGGCAACACTGAGACCAGTTGGCCTCCTGCACAACACGCAAGGCTTGGTTCCACTTTTTCCTGATGTAAAGTAGTTTCCACTAGATGAAGGAAGTGATGTGAGTTCTCTGAAGCACTTCCTGGTTTGTGACTCGATGAGCTTCATGATGGCAGAGACTCAAACACGTCACAGAAGGCAGGAGCTTATTCCTCATCATGAGAACATGTTTATTCACATCATGTTAGTCAACTTTAATTATTTTTTCAGAATCTTTACATCGTGCTTTGGGTCATATTATTAAGATTTTGGGGCTATTTTATACAAAGTAAGAAGTTTTTTTTAGAGAATCAAAACACACCTATACCAAACTACTATAAAGACTCTTTATTAATATTTTCCTCGTATACTTTTACAATTCTATACTTTTTCTGGATACTTTTTAAGCTTTTCATTCATTCAGTGTGCCATTCATAAATGAAAATGTTCAGCTCGTTCAAGAAACAAAAGCTAAGACTTTAGGTTATTGTTTTTATTTGTTAAAATATGTAACTATATTTACAAATATTTTCTACATTAAAATCTCTTGCATTTCTTTTAAAAATCACTGTTCTCAAACATCTGCTTCACCAAACTTGCTCTGTTTGTCTTCTTACCAGTATTAGCTTTTAGCTAACCTTTTTTGCTAATTTCTGCTTTTTGCTATTATTCTGCAACTTTTAGCTAACCTTATGCTAATTTTAGCTTGTTGCTAGCCTTTTCATGAGCGGTAAGTGGTGCAGTTAATAGAGCAAGAAGGTTGCCGGATCAAATCCCGGCTGGGGACCTTTCTGGGTGGAGTTTGCATGTTATCTCCGTACTGCATGTGTTTTCTCCGGGTACTCCGGTTTCCCCCGACAGACCAAAAACATGCATGTTCGGCTGATTGGTAACTCTAAATTGTCCCTAGGTGAGAATGAGAGTGTTTGTCTCTATATGTCCCTGTGATAGACTGGAGACCTGTCCAGGGTGTCCCCCACCTCTCGCACAATGACCCCTGGGGAAAGTGCAACTTGAAAAGGAAACATTGGGTAAAGAAAATGGATGAAATTATTATTTTAAAATTGTTGGCTTTAATCACAGCTATTGCCTCATTGAAAAGACCTTTATTGTCAGAGTTAAAGGAAAGTAAATGGTCTTTTCGCCCATTCTTGAGTTGACTGCTCAGCTTAACCCCATTCTGGTTCCCCCTCCTGCATGCTACAGTGCTACATTTAGCTGCTGCTACATTTAGCTGCATCAGTAGCTGTATTATCGGCATGTCAACCATAGTTGCTCGCCGTTAAAACTTCAACGAAACTACCACCTTACAAAACACACCCTTTATTGGTGAGAAAATGATCTGAAAAGTATTAGAACGTTTCTGTTTTAGTAATAAAGTTATATTTAATAAATCTAACCAAGATGCAATGCACACTAAACCGTTTAACAATGAAAATTAGCTTTATTGCTGTATGATATTCATATGAATAGTGCAGAACCCAGAAGACTAAAATAGTTCATATGGACTAACGCAACAGAATGCAGATTTAAAAATAACATTTAATAAGCAAACATGCAGATGGTCTCTCACAAAGTTAGTTTAATTAACAAATGTTTATTATTCCATCATTCTTCACACAAAACCTTGGCAACAATATGATCCAAATAATCAAATATTTGTTTATTTTGATATAAACTGCTTCTTAAAACTCTTCATTTGCTTTAAACATTAGACAATTTATAGAAAATGTAAAAACAACAATAAAAGATTAACAATCAAAAGGTTTTAACCATTTTTTTTTCTAAAAAATGTTGTGTTGATGTTTCTTGTTGCAGTAAAAGTGTTTTGAGGAACAGGAGGTTCCTACGTGGTAAAAAGAAATTTAACATGGACCCAAAAGTGGTAAGATTTTTTTATTTTTTTTATTTTAAATAATCAGTTCACTGATGGAACCCTGTATTTGATCAGGTACAGTGGTGAGAACAGGGAACAGGTGGAAGAGAACTTGGAGAGGTGGAGGTATGCACTTGAAAGAAGAGGAATGAAAGTCAGCCGTAGTAAGACAGAGTACATGTGTGTGAATGAGAGGGAGGAGGTGGAACAGTGAGGCTACAAGGAGCAGAGCTCACAAAGGTGCAGGACTTCAAGAACTTGGGGTCCACTGTCCAGGAAAATGGGGAGTGTGGTAAAGAGGTGAAGAAGAGAGTCCAGGCAAGATGGAGTGGATGGACAAAAGTTTCAGGAGTGATTTGTGACAAAAGGGTGTCAGCAAAGGTCAAAGGAAAAGTTTACAAGACAGTGGTGAGACCAGCTATGATGTATGGTCTAGAGACAGAGACATGGACAAAAAGACAGGAGACAGAACTGGAAGTAGCAGAAATGAAGATGTTGAGGTTCTCCTTAGGAGTGACAAGGATGGAGAAGAATAGGAATGAGATCATCAGAGGTACAGCACAGGTTGAACAACTGGGAGATAAAGATAGAGAGGACACACTGAGATGGTTTGGACATGTCCAGAGGAGGGACAGTGGGTTGGATATGTCCAGAGGAGGGACAGAGGTTTGGACATGTCCAGAGGAGCTGCAGTGGTTTGGACATGTCCAGAGGACGGACAGTTGTTTGGACATGTCAAAACCACTATCCCTCTTCTGGACATGAAGGACAGTGGTTTGGACATGTCCAGAGGAGGGACAGTGGTTTGGACATATCCAGAAGAGGGACAGGGGTTTGGACATGTCCAGAGAAGGGACAGTGGGTTGGATATGTCCAGAGGAGGGACAGTGGTTTGAACATGTCAAAACCACTATCCATCTTCTGGACATGAAGGACAGTGGTTTGGACATGTCCAGAGGTGGGACAGTGGTTTGGACATGTCCAGAGGAGGGACAGTGGGTATATTAGTAGAAGGATGTTAGAAATGCGTCTGCCGGGAAAAAGACAGAGGATTTTATTTATTTGTTTATTTTTTGTGAGATCTTGCTTTATGAAATTTTAAGCCATTTTTTTTGTCTAAACAGAATCAAACCATCACCAAAGAAACATGATTCTATTATAACAAAATGCTTCAGAATCTAAAAGTTGATTCTAAGAAGAACCAATAACAGTTTTGAGGACATTTAGATTCAAACAAGTGACCTAATGGTTCCCAGAGTTGGGGTCAGGTTTCCAGTGTGAGTCATAAAACACCTAGTTGGGATGATCTGAGATGATACCATACCATTTTATTTATAGAGCACTTAAAACAGCGACAAGGCCAACCAAAGTGCTGTACAGGCAGAACAACAGGTAACACACAAAGCAATATACAAAATGAAGTAAATCAGAATATAGACATAAAAACGATGCAGATAATGACGACAAACCAGTGTGGAGTGTACAGGATCAAAACACAGATCATCTGGTGTTGAAAGCCACCGAATAGTAGTGGGTTTTTAAACGGGACTTGAAAACCGAGAGGGAGGGGGCCTGTCTGACAAGCAGAGGTAACTCGTTCCCGAGTCTTGGTCCTGCTACAGAGAAGGCCCTGTCACCTCTGCGCTTAAGACGAGTTCCTGGAACTGTGAGGAGCAACTGGTCTGCTGACCTCAGGGAACGTGGTGGGACATACGGTTGTAGCAGATCAGAGAGCTGGGGGGGGGCGACACTGTTCAGTGATTTGTAGACATACATGAGTATTCTGAACTGGATTCAAAGGTGAACCAGTAACCAGTGCAGTGAGGCCAAAACTGGTGTAATGTGCTCTCTTTTGCCTGTACTGGTTAAAAATCGGGCTGCTGCATTCTGGACCAGTTGTAGCCGTGCAATGGAGGTCTGACTGATACCAAACAGGAGTGAATTACAGTAATCAAGCCTAGATGTAATGAATGCAGGTATTACTTTCTCCAGGTTATTTTTGGACAATATGGGCTTCAGTTTAGACAGCCGCCTCAGTTGGAAGAAGCATGACTTAACGATCATGCTTACATGATTGTTAAGTTTCAGGGAAGGGTCCATTATCACTCCCAGATTAGTGACTCTTTGTTTTTCTGACAGGGTTAGAGCGGAGAGGTCGATGCAGTGGTTTGTGATTGTGTCGTTGGGAGGGAATAACATGACTTCAGACTTCTTTTCATTGAAACTTAAGAAGTTTAAAGCCATCCAGTCCCTGATGTCAGCCAGTCAGTCGAGCAGAGGTTGAATAGAGCATGTACCATTGTGTCTTAGGGGGAAGTAAATTTGACAGTCATCGGCGTATAAGTGAAAGGGTATGTTGCGTTTCCGGAAAATAGCACCAAGCGGCAGAAGGTATAAAGAGAATAGGAGGGGACCCAGGATGGACCTCTGCGGAACCCCCCATTTAAGCTCTACCGCTGCAGAACTAAAATCCTTGATGGAGACACTAAAGGATCTGTCAGTGAGGTAGGATCTGAACCAATTGAGGGCTGACCCTGTGATGCCCACCCACTGCTCCAACCTAGAAATGAGGATCTCATGGTCGATGGTGTCAAAGGCGGCCGTGAGGTGCAACAGGACAAGCAGCACAGAATCACCAGAATCAGTGGTGATCAGATGATCTGCAGAAACCAAACAAAACGTCTAAATGATTTATAATAGCATATGTTTACTATACTTGTTATAAAAAGTAAAAATTAAAGCGATAAACAAAAAAGTACTGTGAGTTCAAGCTGTCAACAAAATATTGTTTTTCTTTTACTTTTTAGCCATGTTTAACTAGTTCAACCAAATATATGTGTGATCACAAGTCTTGGCTGTTATTTATGAGGTTGAGAGGCTAAAAACATTTGGACCTGTTGAAGCGAACATTCCTGATTGTGCTTCGTGCTTCTCCAGGCGAGTCCGTCCAGCAGTGTTTACTGAAACAGCGTGGATTTGTCGTTCGTTTTGTTTGGATCAGACATTTAGTGACAAACCCTCTGCAGAACTCTGCTCAGCGGATGAGGTTGGAGAAGTGTGACATTCAGAAGTGCACACAGTGCACCCACAGCCGCACAGAGCGCGAGCGAGAACAACCACATCCTGTTCCCCGAAGTGGTGCAGAGGCGTCTCGTCTCCAGAGCGGCCTTATTCTTTTCGTTTTCCCCCGTCTGGGCCCCCAGTTAAAACTGAGCGTCGGCCTGCGAGCACTGCTGGGTCTGCAGGTCTTTAAGTGGAAGGGATTTGAAGAACTGATTATCAGAAGTTCACGCTCAGGTTGACGAGCTGAAGGTGTGGCTCTGAGCACCTTCAGAGGTGAAGCAGTGTCAACGTGCAAAGTTCAGCCGCCTCTCATGCTCCTGCTGCTCAGTAATGACGGTAGTGGCTCAAAAGGTGAAAAACTTTCTTCACATGTGACATATCTAGTTAAACATTAAAGCAATATTAAAAGTTTAAACAAGATGAGGCTGACACACACACACACACATGCAAATTCTGATTTGAAACTAATAGATAGCATTTTTTACGTGACAAACCTCTGATTGAAGGGATTAAATGTTGTTCACATCCACCTTCTCATCTGTCTTTCTGCTGCAGGGAATTAAATACCTGCTTGAAAACAGTTTTCTCGAATGGCGAGCAGAGTCGGTGGCTGAGTTTCTTTACAAGGAGGAGGGACTGAACAAGACGGCCATCGGAAGCTTTTTAGGAGAAAGGTACGACGACGCGTTACAAACGGAGGCAGCTAAAACTCACATGAAGACAAAGAAACAGCAGAGAGAGAAGCTGTTGTTTGAAAGCTTATAGCTCTTGTTGAAATATTTTAAAACATGATTTAATTTTCCCTCTGAAACAGATTGTAACCCAAAATAAATGGAAGGCCTTTTTGCATTCTTCGAAGAATTGCATATGGCCGACCACCCACAATTTTAAACCAACTTACTTTGTGTTATGGTGACACTACCTTGCTGCCGTATAAGTCGCATCAGTCCAGATATGTCTAATAAAGTGGAAAAAAACATAAATACGTCTCTTCGCCGTATAAGTCGCATCTATTATGCGTCACTGCTGACAACCTGGAAATGTGGGCCGGTGTGCCAAAAATCGATTAATCAATTGGCTGCCAAATGGCGCGTGCACGGGAGGGCTTTTACAAAAATTTAACAAGATTAAAACTTAAAAACAATTGTTTGCTCGACGTTATAGCAAAGGTGTGAACTTTTCCTTAATAAATGCACTTTGCCTGTTCGGCGCGGTGAAATGAAGCTGATTTGACGTTTGCTCCAGGAATTCTGGTGCAAGACGGAGGCGGCTTGGTATGGCAAGCCAAGTGTCTCATTAATAGTCACTTTTACCTATTAATGAGATGCTTGGCTTGCCATATTTGTTGAGGGCCCTCTAGTGGCTGAAAATGGTAGTGTTCAATATTTTCCATGTCATAATGAATGAAATCGTCAGATTTCAGTCAAAAATTGGTTTATAAATATGGGGGGGGGAAGCATAAGTCTCTTCGCAGTATAAGTTGCAGGGCATGCTAATTTATGCAAAAAACTGCGACTTATACAGCAAAATTGACAGTAGTTTTTCTGGTCAAATCTGACTGAGTCATAGCCTTTTTTGTTAGCTAAGGCTGATCAGCTGTGGCAGCCATTTTGAATTAGGTTGACTCCAAAAGTCGACCATTTGTAAACTGATTAGTTTCAGTAAAAATCTGTCCAGTAGCTCATGAGATCATTTGAAGTTTGCATAAATGATTGACCTTTAGAGTTATTCAAGATGGCTGCCACAGCTAATCCACATTAATACAGACACATTTACAGATACTGAGCTAAAATCTGGCGTGGTTGTAGCTGACAGTTGATCGCAACACCTACTGCAGGAACTAATCAATCGTTGCAGTATTGCCTGAGATTGTGTATAATGTAAATTTCAAGGCTTGACCCGATTCACCGATGAGTCCATTATTTCTCAGTATTAGATGGTCTTAGTGAAAATCTCTGTCATGAAATGGAGATTCCTTCGAGGAATGTTAGTCCTTCAGTTCATACCTGTTTACACCTGGCAGCTGCAGAATCCAGTTCCTCCCCTTTCAAATGGTTTTAGACTTCATTCGGAGTCTGCGTGCTGTCAGTTGTAGGTTTTATTCTTTGCTTTTAAATGTCACACAGAGAAGAAATGCATCTGCAGGTACTGAAAGCCTTCGTGGGTCTGCACGAGTTCTCCGATCTGAATCTGGTTCAGGCACTGAGGTTTGTGAAAATCAACACATTAAGACACTTTTACCTTTACGCTCGTTTTTCTGGTGGAGAAGAGATCTTCCTGCTTCCACTTAGCAGCTTGTGCTCAACTTTAAGTGCTTATTTATGATTTTTTTTTTCTTTACATTTCTGCTCCCTGGCAGGCAGTTTCTGTGGAGCTTTCGCCTCCCAGGAGAGGCGCAGAAGATTGACAGGATGATGGAGGCTTTTGCAGCTCGATACTGTGACTGCAACCCAGGGGTCTTCCAATCCACAGGTAAGAGGTGACTTCATGCAGTCCAATTAAAACCATTTCTGAGTCTTTAATGTGAACATCTTTTACGAGACACATTACGGTGAGATAAAAGCCACGGAAAAGTCTCATCTCTACCTTTCCAGCTCAAACTAATAGATTTTTTCCCCAGTATAATTACTTTGGCTCTGGCTGCGTTTTACAGAAAGTCATTATTTTTAATGGCTGCCATTCTCCAGCTGAGGCGAAGAGAAAACTAAACTGTGGCTTTTTGCAACAGACACCTGCTACATCCTGTCTTTTGCCATCATCATGCTCAACACAAGCCTGCACAACCCCAACGTGAAAGACAAGCCGAGTCTGCAGCGGTTCGTTTCCATGAACAGGGGCATTAACCACGGCGAGGACCTGCCCACCGAGCTGCTCACGGTCAGCTGATTCACCTCATTAATTTGGCTTTCACTTCATACTGGTCAGGAATGTAAAGTGGGAGCAGTCAAAGCTGGTTCACGTCATCTGCATAAGTTTTAAACGGCAATAAAATACATACAACTAATGGTGTTAAACATGCGGACTAATGTGGATTAGCTGAGGTGTCCATCTTGAATGAGATTGACACCAAAAGGTCAGTTGAGGATGTAAAGCCTATGATTAAATTCTAAAAGTCTCATTAAAACCTGCTTGCTAATTCATGAGATCTATTGTTAACAGTGCGCGCATACACATAAACAAATAAACAACAAATGCAGACAAGAAAATTATCGCTCCACCTTTGAATTTGGCTGCAGGCGAAAATAAACCTTTAGCTGTTTTCTTTAAGCACATCGAAGCCTCGGACTTTCTGATAATGTTCTGTGGGTCCATCGTTCAGGATGGAGCGACTCGCTGTAAACGAAAGCTCATCAGAAGAGAAGAAATCATGCCCCTTCATACTGTGTCCACTCTGCTTCCACCAGCAGACTGAAGCAGGATGTTCTTAAAAAGAAACCCGACACTCAACCTATTTATTAGAGAAATGGCTCCATACTAGTGAGGAAAATATTTTTTTTCACTCCATGGCGTTGTTGTATTGCCTACACTTTATTATAGTTGTAATATAAAATTGATTGGCTCAGCCAAAGTGTCTTCAGTGTCTCTGATGCAACAGTCTCGTGCGACATCAATGTTATCTGACAGATTCCAATTTATAAATGTTAATAATAAATCTTCATCATACACCAAAGTTAGTCATGGAGTTCCTCAAGGTTCAGTGCTTAGACCACTATTATTTGCCTTGTATATGCTTCCACTTGATAATGTTATTAAACAGCTTGGGATAGATTTTCATTGTTATGCTGATGATACACAGTTATATTTGTCCATGAAACCCAATGAATCCAATCAGCTACTTAGAATACAAGCATGTCTTAAAGACATAAAAACCTGGATGATGCTAATTTTTCTTCTTTTGAATACAGACAAGACTGAGGTTTTAGTTTTTGGACCTTCTTAGGAATACATTTTTCAGTATTTCACTCTCTTTGGATGGCATTAATCTGGCCTCCAGCTCTAATGTTAAAAATCTTGGTGTTATTTTTGTCTTTTATGAGTTTTTCCTTTCCACTGTCACCTTCATGCTTGCTCAAGATGAGAGTTCTGTGGTGGAGTTAAATTCAAAGCCGTCTGCTCCTCAGATAAATAATGTTAAATTGTTATTTTTACATGTGAATGTTTCTGTTTAGTATAAATGAAAATGAGTAGATATCATGAAGTGTTGAACTGAAGAGTTTGACAAATCTGTGAACCTGGACATGAAACTTTGTTCCAAATGCAGGGAGAGTTTTGTGGCATTTGGAGTTTATAAAGCGTCTTCTTCTAACAAATAAAGCCATTTTCTTGTCGTATTGCTTTTGCTTCACTAAATTATTTATCGTCCTTTAGTCTGTTGTCAAAATTATTTTTAAGGAAATAAAGTTTAACCAGATTATTTGATTTACTTGTAAAATGTTTCCAGAAACTTTATGCCAGCATTCGAAGTGAGCCTTTCAAAATCCCAGAAGATGATGGGAATGACCTCACGCTGACGTTTTTTAATCCCGACAGAGAGGGTTGGCTCCTAAAAATGGGTGAGACGATGATGAGACCCCACAGGAAACAGAGTGGTTTGTCGAGTGTCAGACTGTGTTCAGCTCCTCGTTTTAAACGTTTTCTCCTCCTGGACGCAGGCGGTCGGGTTAAAACATGGAAGAGGAGATGGTTCATTTTGACAGACAGCTGCCTGTACTATTTTAAATACACCACAGTAAGTTTTCCTTCTTCTGCTGAGCAGAAACGTCAGATATCCTCAGTCTGTTTGACGTCATTTTTCTCCTCCAGGATAAAGACCCAATCGGGATCATCCCTCTGGAGAACCTTTGTGTCAGACAGCTGCAGGACTCCATGAAAACGGTCGGGTTTGACTCGGTTCGACGAAACATTTACAGTTTTCACAAACTGCTAGAGAAAACGTCTGGCCTCCGTAACTGTGCTGCGTGTGTGTTTAAACAGTTCTGCTTGGAGTTATATAACCCCAAAGGACAAAAGATCAAGGCCTGCAAGACGGAGAACAAAGGCAGAGTGGTTCAGGGCAAACACCAGTCCTACAGGCTCAGCGCCGCCAGCGCAGAAGAACGAGACGACTGGATAGAAGCAATCAGGTGAGAAGGAGCCAACTGAGCAGCTGTGATGAAATATATGTTAAAATATTACATCTGCAGCTTCAGAGCCCAAATGTAGATTAATATGCAAACAATAACTTTTACACCTGGTTTTAATAGTTTTAAGGAATAAATAAGTTAATCCTGTTTCCCACATTAACTTAAAGGGAAAGACATTTTTGATAAGCTCAGCTCAAACTTTCACCTCATCCTTCCACATTTGCTGGATGGATGGATGGATGGATGGATGGATGGATGGGTGAGTGAGTGAGTGAGTGAGTGAGTGAGTGAGTGAGTGAGTGAGTGGATGGATGGTGGGTGGATGGATGGATGGATGGGTGGACGGATGGGGGCATAGGTGTGTGGGTGGGTGCATAGGTGGGTGGGTACATTGATGGACGGATGGATGGGTAGGTTGGTGGATGGATAGATAGATGGACGGATGCAGGACAGATGGACGTGTGGATGGACGAGTGCATAGGTGGATGGGTGGGTGCATGGATGGACGGATGGATGCATGGATGGATGGGTGGGTGGGTGCATAGGTGGATGCATGGATGGACGGATGGATGCATGGATGGATGGGTGGGTGCATAGGTGCGTGGGTGGGGGCATGGATGCATGGGTGGGTGGGTGGGTGGAAGGATGGATAGATGGATGGATAGGTAGGTGGATGGATGGATGATGAGTGGATAATGGATGGATGGATGATGAGTGGATAATGGATGGATGGATGGATAGGTAGGTGGATGGATGGATGGTGGATGGATGAAGGGATGGATGGATGAGTAGATGGATGGATGAAGGGAAGGATGGAAGCTATAATCTTAAAGTTTCAAAATGCTAGCTAAAAGCTAAAGGTTACAAAAGAAGACAATACTTCTAGTAGCTGAAGCAGCTTTCAAAGAGAACAAAGTTCTTGAAGGAACTGAAGACTTCTTGTTGTATTTCTACAGTGAAAGTATTTGTAAACAAAGTAAAACTTATATATATATATATATATATATATATATATATATATATATATATATATATAATATATATATATATAT